AGAATTTCTTGTTGTTGTTGCATGAGTTGTATGATGTTTGTGTGACGTTTGTGCTGACGACGTCTGCCATATGGTGTCAAGACTCAGTCCAGGGTAACTAGGGTTTCAAACTGGTGCCTTAATATAAGCTGGTATTCAATCATGGATAAACAGGATTACTACACTTTTACAACAAGAAAAACTCAGACTTAAGCCCCATAATTACAATTCACCAATTTAATATCAAACCACAAGATAGTTTTAAGTATCTTGGCATCAGCAACTGTGATAACTTGAGATAGAATGATAGCGAGACTGACCGTGGTGTGCTGCTTGGTTCATAGGCTAAGGAATGTGGTGGAATTGGATGTTTTGATGAAGGTTCATCAACATCGTCGTTATTACGGGTGTTTGTTCCATAGCATATATTCTCATTTATGGAGTTGCATTTTGGGGAGGAAGAATTAGTCTCTTTGTAGAGTTCATTACCTAGAGCATTGTAGGCTATTACTTCAAGATCTCAAAGTATTGACTCTTACATCTGCCGTAATTCTGTAAACTTCTATATTAGTATTGAAATTTCCTGAAGTATTCAAGAGGAACAAGAATTACAATGGGCGTCTAAACATCCAGGCCCGTTTTTGACCCTGTCAGCGCCCTAGGCACAACTAATAGTAGCACCCCTTTGCAATATATATAACGGGTGTACCGACCGGGAAATCCGGGAATCATGTGGGAGTTTTTTGAACCGGGAATTGTGTGAATTTTGTATTTCTACCTGGAGTTTTCAATTTACCGTGATCGCGCATGACAACAGTGACGATTACTATGTCCACATGACCGCAGGGGACGATATAATAATGTCTTCATGGCCGCGAGGGGTGGTCAGAATTTGACTGCGATCGCGCAAGACGAGGATAATACATAATGGAATAGATCAGAATTTTGTCTCATTCGCGGTAGACCATGATAATCTCCTCAAGACTGCGGGATATGCTCATATATTACTTCATGGAAGACGAAAATTATGTTTAAACGACCCAACCGCGGAAAATAGTAAGAATCTTGCCGCAAACGGGGGAGACGATTATGGATGTCTACACGGCCACAAGGGATTATCAGAAGTTTGCCGCGATGCAAATACAACCACCAATTTTTTTATATTTTCCAAACTTTTGGCCCCCCCCCCCCAAAAAAAAGCCAATTGCCTTGCACCCTAGGCAAATGCCTACCGTGCCTATTTGGTAAATCGGCCCTGTAAACATCCACAGAACAACATTGATACAATACTTGGCTAGTAAAGTTTTCAATAGATTACCAGATGAAATAAAAAGTTGCTCTGAACAGAAGGCATTTAAGAAAAAACCGAAGACATATTTAACGGAAAATGCCAATTACTTTATGGATGAGTTCTGGAAAGATGATGACATGACATAGGCCTAACATCCAATCCAAACTGATGACCTTAGGTGAAATGCTACAAGTAGGATACCTTCAAGTATGCAAGTAAGTAAGTATGACCCTATCTATTTCTCCACCTTATTGTGTGGCATCTCCAGGGACTTTCTTGAATTTGTATTCTTATTACTATCACTATAGTACAAAATATTTACAAAATATATCAGGAGCTTGGATCTCTATGGTGTTGCCGGTTTGTTGCAATGTTTTCAGTCTTTTTCGTTTCGATGTCGTATATTAATTTGAAAATTGTAGATCTGGTGTAGTCTTCTTTTTTGTTTATGAGGATGTGCGATCCGTTTATTTTTACATGTTTGTATATTTTGGTAGCTTTCTTTCTTGTACTTGTCCTAATGGTTATAAGAGGGTTTTGTTCAGAATTGTGAGGGAATAGGGAAATTTTATAGTGTTTGAGTTGGATTTTGTTTTAGGTGTTTGGCTATATAGAGTTAGTGATAAGAATATGAATTCAAGAAGACCCCTGGAAATGACACACAAGGTGGTGAAATGCAAAGAGTGGCTTTACCATATTATCTACAAGAGTTCAGGCAACAACAACAAAGGTAAATAGTATATTTATACTTTATTATTTTATAAATCGTTCAGATGGTTTAGTTACTTCAGTTGTTTAAGTGATTTGTATTGTTTTAATCAAACAAACTGTTTAAATTACCTATACAAAAAGTATTTCCTAACAGAGTATGCAGCTTTTAAATAAAGCAATTCCTTTATGTGTTTGACAGAAAATAACATAGCAGCATTAAATTGACCAAATATAATGTATTTTCTGATGGAAATTCTCACACATTGTCAATATTGACGAGGTCTTTGTAGTAGGTTTGGATGATTGATGTTGACAATATGTCACTCTCACTTGGCATATTGAGCTTCCGGTGAATGGATGCCGATGAAAGGATGCCAATCATTCTGTGCCAAGAGCTTAATGATCTTAGGCTTTTAAAGGTCAGTAACCCAAGGGCTTATGGTTGGGCAGTTCAATGTGGTAGCTTCTGTGAAGGATATTCGGCCTATCTCTTTTTACCAATATTTTGGCCACACAATAAATTTTCAAAGAACCACAGAACTCAAATTTTGAAAACTTTTACAGTTAAGAATTAGATTCAATATTATTTTTTTCATCCATCATAATCTGGGAGCAAGAGCTATCTAGGTCAATTTAGCAACTAATTCACTTTTGTCCACTGTCTCATCACCTCAGATAATGATCCTAGAAAGAAACGATTCTGGAACCAGTAGTCGTTTCAACTACCAAATATAGTCAGAATATCCTTAACTAACTACAGTACATGGTCTTGTAGACTAAAATTTGACTCAAAGATAAAGAGCTTTATGAATTGCTTTGAAAAAACAGGTATACAAAATTCCATCATCGCTTCACCCTAGAAAACTTCAATAGATGAGTTTTCCAAAATAATGTTTGCAAGCATTAAATCCAAACAAGAATGTACAAACTTTAGATCAGAAGATGACAAGTAAAAACTATGAAAATCACAAAGAACTAGCTAATTTCCCTACAAGGAAATACGGTTAGGTACTGTTATTGTAGGTTGCATGGTAAGACCTAGACCCAGGACCAATTTTCATTTTTCATTTTCATGCCCCCAGAGGCCAAAAACACCATTCGTTCAAATTGTCATATATGCCCATGAACACAATAGCCGAGTAATTTTGGTCAGATTTGATGAAATTTTGACAATTGGCAAATTTATTTGTTTCATCCTATGCTATTAACATTTACTATTAACAGCAAGACTCTCTTAAAATCTAATGCTATTTAAATTGGGAATAAAAGACTTGATTATGGAAATATTTAAATTAAATAATCAATCAGACAGATTTAAAGTTGCTTATGCTGCAGGTTTATTGCAGCAGGGGTATTTAGTTTTAGGTATAGGTGTATTAGAAACAGTTGTTTGTTAGTTGAAAAAATATAATCTATACTTATTTACGCAAGCAGGATTTTTGTGACAATTACTCCTCCGAAACTACTGAACCGATTGTCATGTTTTTGGTGTCATTAGAAAGAGCATAGGAAGTAGTTGTGGAGGAAACTTTCTTTTTAGGCAAATAATTAGAGAGTGAGGCCCTAGGGCCCTTTTAATTTTCGTATTTCTCCATAAGATTAACATGGGAAACAAAAATGGTTATGAAACTCCAGCTGTTGTCAGAAATTAAAAGTGAGAAGAAGAACATATGTTAATTGTAAACAGTCAACAAGATTGCTAATTTAACAGTTTGCTACAAACATTTACTGACTTGGTTTAAATAAAATAGTCTACTTTTTCATTTGGGTTGGCGTAAATATTACAATGGAAAAAAGCGAGAGAGCCTGGATAAATTGATATACTAAAAAGAAAACTGAATTAACACTGTGCTGCATTTCGTAGTAATCATTGAAAGAGCCGATTTGCAAACTATGGAAACAGAGAAAAGTCATAGAACACCACCAAGGAAAAGAAATAGACAATTTTTTTAGAATTTATAATCGTTATTATGGACAACCTAATGCGGCTATGAATAAGGCTATTTGTAGAAAACACTAAAAAACAAGATCAGCTTTGGAAAAATGATAAGATATTTACAAGAAATGTTGATTATATCGATCTGTTAAGTACATCTTGAGTATTTCCATAATCTTTGAGTCGAATCTTTTAAAGTCATCAGAAATTATGGATGTTATTCGTTTTAAAATAACGCCTGTAATACTTAGCTATTGCTCGAATTCGAGCAACAGGGACACTAGTTCCCTAATAACTTGCAAAAAGAAATTACCTTAAAACACAAAAGCAACAAGCTACAAGCAGTTCACACTGTTGTGAATGAGCAATAATAATAATACCTGACAGTGCAGTAATGTCTTCCAAGGTCTATAGGATAAATATAGGGTGTAACTATAAACATCAAAATAAGCTACAAGCTATAAGCAGTTCACACTGTTTAGAATGAGCAATAAATAATAATAATACCTGACAATGCAGTAATGTCTTCCAAGGTCTATAGGATAAATATAGGGTGTAACTATAAACATCAAAATAAGCTACAAGCTACAAGCTACAAGCAGTTCACACTGTTGTGAATGAGCAATAATAATAATACCTGACAGTGCAGTAATGTCTTCCAAGGTCTATAGGATAAATATAGGGTGTAACTATAAACATAAAAATAAGGATAAATATAGGGTGTAACTATAAACATCAAAATAAGCTAAACTATCAAATCATATTCTGACAGTCTTCTACATTAATATACATCAGTAACCCTGTAAATTACACAGTAAACAAGTAATAATAATACTTGTTATACAAAATATGTACAGAGAAATTATACTGTAAAGGCTGGACCATATAGTTCTAGGCGTCTGGTTGACGCACACGCATTAATTTGCTGTGTTAATTCCCCATCTGTCAAAACTTGGGCTAACATATGATTAAATGCAAATTCGTTATTACGCATGCGTCAGCCAGACACCTAGAACTATGGTCCGGCCTTTACCTAACAAATTAAACACACTACCGTACTCTTTATTTTTACAAACAGGTTACCGCAATGAGCATGTAGTAATTCTCCTTTATTGCACCACAACATCCAAGGAAAGCGATAAAGAATACAATTCCTCCCGCTACAATGAGTACTATAGGAGGCGCCAGCACCTTCAACAATAAAACATTACTTAGTCAATCACTGTACCCACAGGTGATAGTCCAGTGTTCCCTTTCAAGTGTATGTATACAGATTGGTCACAATTAGGTTTTCATTCACATATGTATCTGTAGTTTTTATTAGTTATTTTGACAAACGTTTCTATAAGATAAATTTCTGACAACCAAAAAGCGATGCATCAATCCAGATACAGTACAGATACAGTACCTATTAAAACATAATGATTTTTGCATACTGTAAGTGTTTTAGTGTTGAAAATTAATCGTTGGATGAAAATTTAATGTGTTCAAAAAGCCTTCTAAGTAGTGTATAGTTAATAATGTGTTTAAATATAAATAAATCTTTAGAAAGGTATTTCATCCAGATTCTTAACTAAAATATGTAACAAAATGCCAAGTTGCTTGCTAAAAATGTTTTTAAGGGTTATTGCTGAAAAACTATCAGAGAAATGGAAAAAACCATACAGTTCGGTAATAAGTTGGATAAGATCAAGAACAATTTGTGTTGTTTTAAGGTCAACCAGTCAAGGGCAGTCCTAGACATATATTTTGGGGGGGGGGGTCAACACTAGCCCCAAAAAGGCCTGGGGGCCCCCCAGTAAAGGAGGGCGGTCCGGGGGTTCCCCCCCGGGAAAAATTTGGAAATAACGTGCTAAAATGAGTGGTTTTTAAGCTATTTTGAGGGCCTAGTTTAATGTGTTCAAGCTTCCCAGTTTATTTAAAGGTCAAAGAAATGTCAACAAATAAACTTGTATAATTTCATGTTTTTTCATTATTGAGACTTGGGGTTTTAATCTTAAAGGAATTCCGTGGGAGAATTAGTGATGAGTGTGTCAGTGAGGGCTTTGCCTTTTATAAGTATAGATTTCTATTAAATAAATAAATTTTATACTTATAAAAAAAACAAAACTGTGCGTTCCTTGCATAAGAGTTGATTTATTTTTTTAGGGTGAACAAATGTTGAGTTCTAGCAAATTTCCCTATAGGGAAGTAGCCAGGGCTGTTGCAGAAAAACTATTTGGGGGAAATACTTTGAATATCCCAACTATATTATATATTACACCAGTTACCAACTATATTTCACTGATTTCACAACTAATTATTATTAAGTGTCAACAGTAATGAGGTTGTTTTACCTAAAAAGCCTCTTTATAGCTCACAAACACAAATAACAAGAAATCAAGGCAATAAAAGATGATCACACGTTAAGTTTACTGTTACTTCACTGTGGCCTACTGATTAATTTATCGAATTAGTTAATATAATTATTACTTTAATTAATCATTTATATAGAATGGTAGACATCTGCTCAGTTTGAAAATAATCCTTTTCGACAGTTTCAAATTTCCAAAAATCCTAACTCATACTGTAGCTTCAAATACCCAAAATTTCCAACTATTACACTTTTCAAAGATGATTGGGGGGTTGGGAGAAAAATAAAACTGTGCTTATTTGTGCATGCATGTTTGATCAAATTTGGCAAATTTATTTATGTCATCCTATACTATTAACATTTGGTCAAAAATCACTTTTTACCTTCCCCGTAACAGCAGACATAGTACTTGTAAAATCTAATGTCGTTTAAATAGGGAATAAAATATGTATTGTTTATGGGATTATTTTAGTAAAAATTCAATCAGACAAATTGAAATTCCTTTAGTCTGCAGGTTTGCTGTGTCGGGGATTAAAACTTCAAATTAAATGGTTTTAAAGAAATATTCCAAAATACTTAAATATTTACCTTGTTCTCTAAGAAATGGCTGTAACTCCCAACTTCTGACAGTACCAGGACACCAACCATGATTACTGCAAGTCCTGATAACTGTAAACATGCAAAATACAATATGTTATAGCGTTATAACCAATAATACAGTATTGAATTAGCCATTATTTATTAATCAAATGAAAAAAACATAGTATTGTTACTATTTTTTTCTTATAAGATCATATATTTTGTGCAATATCCTATATATTAAAACAAAACAGGGTTTTTTTATTTCACTATTCTGAATCAACCACTTGACGGATTTTTATGATTTTTGTGTTGAAAGAAAGATAATTTTGAGAACTAGGGAATGTCAAAGCCATAATTTTAGTTTAGGGTTTCAGTTTTTTAGAAATTAAGTTTTAATTTTCAAAAAGTCTAGCAGCCGACAGACGAGTTAAAGTCGTTTTAGTGGTGGTTTAACTAACAGCTGGTTTCTAACTGTCATTGAAATGTTTATGTTACAAGTTGTTTGTATACAAAAATAATGATCGTCAGAGTTTGCCTACACGATATTACTTTAAAATGCAGTTTATTTTCCACCGTAAAAAGATCTATGTTATCAGGAGATTGTGTAATTTTGAACTAAACATTTTAAACGTATAATCAAGTTATGTCATAAATGTAATCCGTCTAAGTATAAGTGCTTAATCCTTTAAGATATAAGTGGTTTACGTGTTGATTCATATTTGTCTAGATGTTTGAATATAAGTATGACTGCATACAGTACACATTTTATTCGTAATGAAAATATCAACCGGTGTAGTAGGCCTCCAGAAAACTGACCAGTAAGCTGCAGGGTGTCAGTAGAAACCAAAATCGATTCATACCATATCATAACTATCCCAGTATTACTGTATGATTCAGAAACTTGATAAAGGGGTACATTCCAAAAGTAGACCAAAAGGCTCGGATCTCGGATGGGCTGGGTAGGCTTTGCATGGCGGAGAGAAGATACTTCAACTTTTAAAAGTGTATTCCAAGGAGTACTGCAAGGTAGACGACCACTTGGAAGACCAAGTAATGAAAGACATCTTCAGACTGGTATCTTCCTGTCTTCCTGTCATCCAGAAATGGCAGGGGATAGAAGAGCCAGGAGGCCAGGATCATTTTAGAGGTTTCAGTGGCCAAGGTGATAAAATAAGGTACGGTAAGTGATAGTAGGCCCATGCAGTGTGGATGGTGGTATGTAGCTACTGTACTCAAAGCCAGTGTGTGTGAATCGGCCACCAAGTTGTAAACTAGCTGTTCTGAATCATATTGAGTTTTAATTGACTACTCGATTCCCGTACGTAGGACAGGGCCAACAGCTCGTTTCTTCTTAAAATCATAATGAGAATCGATGACTTAACAAAGCAGTGAAATACATTTAGCTGTATAGTAAATTAATTATTATTTTTTATTCAAATATTATGCATAAGATTGTTCATCTGATATGTGCTCATAAGGGAAAATTGAATCTCGCATTTTAGTAAAGAATTGTTTCTGTAAATACACTTTAAATTTAAAGACAGATAGACAAACAAAAATAACTCAAGAGTAACCAACCTAGTTTTGAATTGCTGCAGATAAGCCATGTTAGCAAATTTCCCTATAGGGAAGTAGCTAATAGGTCTCATGAAAAAAAAAATATATATATATACAGGGTGTCCCACGTAAGGTGTCTCAAATTGATTACGGAGAAACGGCTTAACGTACAAGGATGAAATAAAATTATTTCCGACTAAATCGACCCCAAAAAATAACTTAAAAATATTTTAAACTTTTTTCCTATAAAGAGTGTGCCTAAAACTGAGGGTCACTTGTTCGAATCTCGGAATTTTAAATGTAAAAATATGTCATGCTATACATCATTTTAAAGGTATTTATTAGACAAACATTTTGGCGAAAACAGAAATTAATTATCTTATTCCGTTTCAAAATGGCGGCAGTTTTTTTGGAAAAATTCAATATGTTTTTAATACTCTGTGTTTCCTATACCAATGCACTTAGCCCTTCTCCGGTTGAATTTTCTTACTTGTTATGAAATTAGCTTATTAAAGTAAATGCTATTAAAAAACATTTGAATTTATACAGTTTTTCACTAAAGCTACTTTTTTAAGATCAGAGCTACAGTGTGTTACATCTTGGAAAAAGCTGCTTACTGGGTACATTCTGCATCCTGTGTAGCTCCTAAATGAGTAAGTTTGGTATGAAAATTCTAAGAGTATACATCCTGGTTGAAGTTTGTTCGTTACGCTAACACAATATGTTATTGTATCCCACAGTTTAATGAAAACATTTTCCTCCAATTCTAAGGCAATTTTTATTGGATTTTACACAATAAATAATTTTTGGATGGATTATAAATTTCCTTACATAAAAAGCTTCCCCTGGCACTAAAGGAAGACAGCAAAAAAAGAATCATCCAATTCGGTGCACTCGTTCTCAAGTTTTGGAATACCATCAAAAAAGGGATTCATTTTTATTTATATAGATTTTATGTTTGTTAAATTAGTGTGTACATGGAATTTTAAGACTTATTCACTCTTAGCATTTTCTCTCCGACCCTACTTGTTTAGGAGCTACAGCTATATAAATTCTAAAACAACCATAAAATACAAGGTGTGTCATGAGATATTTAAAAGCTAGCTGCTGGTGGAAAATAGGGGCCATCATTTTTTAAAAATTAGAATTAATTTTTTCCCATAAGAAAATAGTTGAAGTTCTCTAGATCTAATAGATTCAGGGATACCAAGGGTGACATAGTTAAGATGCTATATATTTATTTGTTATATTATAACCAATAGTTTTTTTGTGTCTTGTGAAACCACCATCATGACAACCTTCTCATTATTATACTTCTTTAATGAAATCTTATTCCGTTCTGTACATAATTTTGTGAACTGTCTTGCGCTGTTGGATACCCTTTGATGTACAGTACTTTATTTGATAGTCAGGGATGATTCTTTATTCATAAGTCCATTTGACAACTGAGGTAACAGAACATTGACCTCAAGTAGAGAGCAATGTTCATATACAACCAATATTTTTTTACAATGAAATGAAGAATATTTTTAGCCATTGATAAGAGAGCTATCATATTTAAAAATTGTTATTTCATGTTATATTTTGATATACCAATTTACGAAAAAGAAAGTTTATAAAAGCTAATATCTGTGATAATTAAGGCAATTTCAGCATTGTAAAACTGTTGGTTTTTGTTTTTTTTTAGGTACAGTATTGAAAAATTGTTTTTCACCACACTATGATGTTTTTGGCTGTATTACATACGTTAATTGGTGGCTGAAAGTTACGTTTTGCTGGCCATGCCAGCTGTCATCGTAATTTGGGCACCGAGCAGGTTTTTACATCCCCGGGCCATAAAATCAGCTTCCCGCTTGCATATTTATTACACAAACAGTATTCATAGCATTGAAATAGAATTGTTTTATTTTCAACGTTACCTAGCAACTGTTTATAATTTTATTGCCGATTCCTGAAATTACTTCTTCACATAACCTTAAAGTTGCGTTGACTATCAGTTTTCATTATTATTATTGTGAATAGTAGTAGTGTGGTGAAAAATAGTGTTTGTACCACGGACCGAAAATGGTTTTGCAGCTCTCGATCGATTTCTCGAACTTAAAAACTATCTCGAGCCGGCAAAACATAGTTTTTGGCCCTAGGTACAAAATATACTATTACATGCTTGTCATTCAGTAAAAACCCCTGTATTAATATTACCGAAACCCCAGTCTGACAGGCCCAAGGGAAATTTTCACAAACGTATGTTGACAACACTGTTTACTTGATGGATTCCATTTCCCCCAATACCCCCTACCTGTTTATATATTGTTCGTTGATTTTGCGTGGGTGCCGTGACCTTGACAAGTTGTCTGATCATAACATGCCCATCTCAGAAGCCCTGTATTAGTGTATTTTAAAGCGGGGTTTCACAGGCCAAGGGTTTCGGTTTGTGTGTTTCTAAGCGTGGTCCATTATTTTCAAATGGGGTCTCATAGACCAGGGGTTTCGGTTAGCATCAGCCTGGGTAGGGTTTCGGTATTAGTTTTAATTCAAATATGTTTCTAGATTATGTATCCTCTTGGGCAAACATATGATTGAAAAATGTATGTACATTATTGTTAGTTTTTCATTCTTGTTGTGGTTACAGAAAGAACCAAAGCATACTGTTTGATAGACGTTAACATTTGTTGGTGTAAGAAAAAAAAGGGTTTAATATAAACCACCTATTTTGAATCTACACTTAATACAATAAGTTTTCTCAGTAATATCCCTTTTTTACCCATCCTACTTAACAAATTTTTACGATCGAGGTGTCGTTTTAAAGCTTATAATCTAGCAAAATGATGAATGATAACCTAAAAGGTCATTTTCTATAGGGATTCCTCCCCCTAGATTGTGATTATTTCTAGACTTTGCTTTTGAAAATCCAGTGATGCTGAGAAACTTTCTTTATAACGGTTTTAAACATGAGGTTTTATCCCTATAACTGATCATTCAGTTTAATGTTTAACCATAGCTAGATTGTTAACAAGAGACCAAAATGTTTATGAAATTGAATATTAAACATGCTACTTTTATTTATAAGTACTGGGGGACCGTATAGTTTTTGTTATTGTAAAAGCAGTATAAAGCAAACTCACGTTTTTATAACTAATTTTGGCTTTTATTATTTAAGTTCCAGTGGAATTCAATTTATTATGAATACAGCTGTCCAAATTATGTAATAGCTATTTACCTTACAAGTGTAGTAAGAGCTTTTTTACATCACACAGGTGAATGTTGTGCAACGAGCGGAAGCGAGTTGCATAATTTACCGAAGTGATGTAAACACAAAGATTTTACCTGACCTGACAATATACAGGAGGTTACGAACAATATTTTTCATTATCCATTTCATTCATCTTCTAACAGTAACGTTCATTTACAAACAAAAGCTAGGTTAGGAAAATTCTTCAAAACAGCAATAAAATTCAAGCGCACAGCTGATTTCTAGCGTTGAGCGTCGTTGGCTCCATAGAGGTATATTTTTTAAGTTAAGCATTCAATGT